TCTATTCAGTATGATGTTAGCCATTGGTTTGTCTTATATGGCCTTTATTATTTTGAGGTACGTTTCTTCTGTACCTCCTTTGAGCTGCTTTTGTTGCTGTTGTGTCCTGGTCTGGTTTGGGTGTATTAGGGTAATGCTGGCCTCAGAGGATAAGTTTGGAAGTAGGTCCACCTTGTCAGTTTTTTGTTTTTTGTTTTGAGGAACTGGAGTAGGATAAGTATTAGTTCTACTTTAAATGTTTGGTAGCCTATCAAGTCCTGGGCTTTTCTTTAATGGGAAACTTTATATTCAACTTTAATCTTGTTATTCATTATTGTTCTGTTGAAGTTTTCTATTTCTTCATGCTTCTATTTTTCTAGGCTGTATGTGTACAGAAATTTATTCACTTCTTCTAGATTTTCCCATTTTTGGAAATATAGTTGTTCATATTAATCTCTAAAGAGTCTTTGTATTTCTGAGGTGTCAATTGTTATATCCCCTTTTTCATTTCTAATTTTATTTATTTGAGTCTCTTTTCTTAAATTTTTGTTGATTTTGTTTACCTTTCCAAGAAAAGAGGTGTTTTATTGATTTTCTGTATTTTTTTTTTTTTTTTTTTTTAGTCTCTGATCTTTATTATTTCTTCCCTTCTACTACTTTTGCATTTGCTTTGTTCTTGCTTTCCTATTTCCTCGAGATGCGTTGTTTGGTTGCTTATTTGAAGTCTTTCTACTTTTTTGGATATAGGTGTTTATTGCTATAAACTTCCTCTAAGTGCTGCTTTTGCCATATCCTATTGATTTTGGTATGTTGTAGTTCCATTTTCACTTGTTTCAATAATTTTTAAAATTTCCTTCTTCTTTATTGACTCATTGGTTATTCAGGAGCATACTGTTCCATGTTTCTGTATATTCTGATGATCCTCTTGTTACTGATTTCTAGTTTTATTCCACTGTGGTCAGAAAATATATTTGATAACATTTCTGCTTTTAAACAATTTGTACAAGCTGACTTTATAGCATAGCATATGGATTTATTTGGGAAAATATTGTACATGCTGCTTTTAAAAAAATGTGTCTTTTGCAGCAGTTGGGTGTCATGTTTTGCCAATGTCAGTTAGGTCTATTAGATATGGTGGTACATTAACTCTGTTGTTTATTTGTTGATTTTTGTCTGGCTGATCTGTTCATTACTGAGAATGGGGTGTTTAAAACCCCGCTATTATTGTTTTGCAATCTATCTCTCCTTTTAGGTCTATTAATGTTTGCCTTATATATCTGGGAACTTTGATGTTGGATACATAAGTATTTATAATTCTATCCTCTTCCTGAATTGACCCCTTTGTTATTATACAGTGACCCTCTTTGTCTTTTCTTACAGTTTTTAAATTTGTAGTATATTTTATCTGATTTAAGTAAAACTCCTACTGCTCTTTTTGGTTTCCAGTTACATGGAATTTTTTTTCAAGCCTTCACTTTTATTTATGTATACCTTTACAGGTGAAGTGTGTTTCTAGAAGAGAGCATATAGTTGGATATTGTTTCTTTATCCATTTGCCATTCTATGAACTTTAATTGGAGAATTGAGAATATTTATACTCAGTGTTATTATTAAGGATTTTTTTTTTTTTTTTTTTTTTTTTTGCTTATTTTTGGTGGTTGAGAGACTCCTCTCTTCCTTTTATCCTTTATGGTTATGTGATTATCTCTGGTAGTATATTTTAATTTGTTGCTTTCTGTTTTTAGTAAATATATTAAAGTTTTTGTTCTGTGGTTACCATGGGACTTACAAAAAACATCTTATAAATATAGCAAGTTATTTTAAAGACCTGATAAATCATCTTAGATCGCAAATAAAGGAATATAAGCAAGGGCAAAAACAGGCAAAAAAAAAAAAGTCTATACTTTAATTCCACTCCACCCCAACATTTTGACATTTAGTTTTCTCAGTTTACATGTTTTATATTACCTGCATCTTAAAAGGTTGCTATAGCTATCACTGTTCTTGAAAGGTTTATTTTTTGGTTTCATAGTAGAGTTATACATGGATTGCACAGCACAAATATGGTAATGAAGTATTCTAGGTTTGTCTATGTACTTAACTTTACCAATGGGTTTCATACTTTGAAAAGTTTTCTTTTGCATGTTAGTGTCTTTTTTCTTTCAGACTTGATAACTCCCTTTAGCATTTTTTGCAAGATGGGTCTGGTGTTGGTGGATTTTTTTCAACTTTTGTTTGTCTGTGTAAGACTTTATATATTGTTTATATTTGAAAGACATTTTTCTATGTACAATATTCTTGAATGTCAGTTTTATTTTATCCCGGAGTGCTTTGAAAATTTCTTTCTGCTATCTCTTGAACTGCATGATTTCTGTTGAGAAGTTTGTTGTCACAGGATTTAGACCTCCTTTATATGCTATTTATTTCTCATCTCTTCCGCTTTTAGGATCGTCTCTTTGCCCTTGACCCGATGTCTTGGGGTAGTACCCTACTATATCTCAGACTACGCTTTCTTAGATAATATTTCTAAAGGTGTGGGTTGAGGAAGTAGAAGAGAATCAGTCCCTAAGCAGTTAAACTAATGTGGGTGGAGGCCTATTTTATAAAGATCTCCTTGAGAAAACATTGATACATTATCAATAAATGACCATAATTAGAGGAAACAGATGTGAATGAATTTTGTCATCTTGAATCTCAAAAGCAAAAATGGCTTATGTAATTGCTGGGTGTTTTTCAAATTCCAATTTTAAAGCTGAATTTGAATCTTAAGTTATGGGACCACTGATAGTATGGTGGGCTAAAGAATCAGGATTTTAGTTGGACTGTCTGGGTCTGAATTGTGATTCTGCCACTTACTAACTGTTTGACTTGGGGCATGATCGCTTGACTCCTCTATGCTTCTGTTTCTACAACTCTAACATGTAGACAAACTGATAATTTCTTCATATATTTGTTCTGTGGGTTAAATGAGCTAATCTATATAAATCACTTACTATAGTACACTATAGTTCATGTCAGAAAAATTTGTGACTTTAATATTTATATAATTGAGCTTAAAACTAGAATCTAGAGAGACTGTCAGGCATTGTGAAATTTGGCTGTGTATTCACATATTTTAGTCAGATTTGGTGAAAAAGTAATTACTTAATAAAATATAATTACCTTTTGAGCAAATTTTACTAGGAACTATGCTAATTGATTTATATGCATCATTTCATTTGATCTTCAAGACCATAAAAGCTGGATTGTATTTTATTATCCATTTATAAATGAAGAAATTAAATTCAAACAAGTATACTACTAGCAAGATCCCACAATTATTAATAGCAAGATAGCTAAGATTCAAACCTAGGTACATCTCATTCAAGTGTATAACATCATACTGAGGACTTGGTTCTTGGGGGTACAACTTTTCCATTGTGTGAACCGGGTAAAGTTACATAAATTATCTCTTTTCATGTGTACCATAAAAATAACAATACTGTCTAACTTACAGGACTGTATTAGCTGTTACAAATAAGCATGGTTAAGGAAGAGCTTCTAAATTACTATGAAATTTTGAGAATTTTTTTAATATCCCATCTCATTTTTATTATTTAACCACATTGAACACTTTCAAAGGTGTTTTATACATTAAAATGTTTTTTAAGTCCATGAATTTAGTAAATTAGGTGAAAACAGAAAAAATATACATATATAAATGATGCCACTCATTACCTTATACACATTTTTATTTGACCAAATCTTTTATTAATTACTTGGTTGACTGGTAATCACCCAAGACTGTTTGGTTTATTAAGATATTCATTGTGGTTCACGGAAATTCAGAATTATCTGAAAAAAATAAAATGTTGGGCTCTGCAATTCCTGTCTGAGAGATTTTCTGGAATTCTTTTTGTCCTCCCTACCTTTCTGTTTGTCAGAAGCATATCTATTACCGAGTGATTCATGTCAATGAAGACTATTACAGGAGTAGGCCTTACTTTTTCTTTCTTTTTGTTTTTTTTAAGTTATTTTCTTCTAGAACAATATTTTCAAACAGTTGTGTTTCTTTCTTTCTAGTGTTTAACTCATTAAACATAAAATAGCTTTCTAAAGCCGAACAGACCAGTTAAAAGTTATCTCTGCTTCACGGTGCATGTTCAACTAAGATTTAACGTCAGCATATTGAGTATAACTTTTTAAGAATCTTTTTATTCAGAAATTGTAAGCTGTACAAAGTAAACTGAATATTATAATGAATTTTCAGGTACTTATGACACAATTTGAACAATTATCAACATTACAACTATCTTGTATTCTCTACACTTCTATTCACTATGCAATCTAATCATCTGTATTGTTAGTATTATTATTTTCCTTTTCCTTATTATTATCATTCAGAATCTTTGAGGTAAAATTTATGTAACTTGAAATGTGAAAATCTTAGCTGTACCATTTTGATAATTCGACAAACCACATCACCTACGTCCCTAACACAACAAAGTATTTCCACCTCCCCAGAAATTGCCTCATGTCTCTCTTCATTCTTCCATCTTTACACCCATCAAAGGTAAGCAGTGCTCCCATTTTTTGACATTAAATTAGGTGTACATGTTCTAAAACTTTATAAATAGAATAATACAATATGCACTCCTTTGTGTCCTGATTATTTTCCTTCGCAAATATGTATCGCTAATTTTAACATACCCAGAAACATAAACCTCCCCAAGACTCTTTGTACATATTCCCAGAAGCATATGTCACTGAAATGAATATTCAAGGATTCACCACGCAAAGTGTGTCCTCACCAGGACAAAGCCCAGGTCCTATGCCTCCTTCCATTTTATGTCAGGATAATGTCATTTTTTTGTTGTTGTTCTCATGGAAATATGTAAAATTGTTTTTTCTTCATCTACAAAATGTTAAAACTCATTAATAAGCAATAATAAGCCATGGAATTTTTCATATTTGCAAAGCTGATATTCAGGTAATAGGACCTGATCCAAGCTCCTGTGCTGTCAGAGTATCATCTGTCTCCGTTAGAACTCACCCCTCTTCCTGGGTAGTGTGTGGACAATGCTGTTGCGAATTTCTTTGGTTTTGATACTATAGACAATGGGGTTGACTACAGGGGGAAAGAAGAGGTAAGCATTGGCCGTGACAGTCTGGAGAAGTGGAGGTAAATGTCGTCCAAAGCGATGCATCAGGGAGAGGCTGACCATGGGCACATAGTACACAAGCACAGCACAAATGTGTGACACGCATGTGTTCAGTGCCCGCCACCGCCCTGCTCCAGAAGCTATTTTCAGTACTGTATTAAGAATTAGCACATAAGAAACCACAATGAGCAATGAGTCTAGTCCAAATGTGAAGGTAATGACAAATAGACCCAGGTTGCTATTGGGGCATGTGTCTCCACAGGGCAATTTGATCAGATCCGAGTGGAGGCAATAAGAGTGTGTGAGGGTATTGTGGCCACAGAAAGGCAGACGCTTCAGGAGAAAGACCAGTGGGAGCATGAGCATTATACTTCGCAAGGCAATGGCAGCACCCATCCCAGTAATGCGGGCAATTGTCAGCATGGTTGTGTAGCGCAGTGGGCTGTAGATGGCCACAAAACAGTCCACTGACATTGCCAGAAGGACACCTGACTCCATGAGAGTGAAAGAGTGCATAGAAAACATCTGAAGCAGACAACCACTAAAACTGATATCATTAATGCCAAAGAGGAAGATGCTTAATACAGTGGGCATGGTGGAAGCAGAGACACCAAATTCCACAAAGGCTAGCATGGCCAGAAAGTAGTACATGGGTTGGTGCAAGGAAGAGTCAATTCGGATGATGTGAAAAATGAGGCCATTTCCCAGAAAGATGATGGTGTATATCAGGCAGAAGGGGATGGATATCCATATATGTTCTGCCTCCAGCCCCGGGATGCCAACAAGAGTGAATGTTGAAGGTGCAAATTTTATGGAACCATTGAAAATGTCATGGTGATGCTTTCTCTGAAGATATTGGGAAGCACATGGAGACTGAAATATATATGTTTCTATTCAGTTATTGCACATCAAAATCTAAGCTTCTAACAGTCATATCTAAGACATTTCCTCAGAAGAGTGGATGAAAAATTGATTTCTGAGAAAAGGGCACAGGTAAGCCACGGTGAGTGGATGACAAACCTAATTGGTCATACAGAAAAGTATTCCAACATAGGCTATATGCCAAATACAGAAGGCATTAATAGAAATCTCAAGTTGGGTCATCTATGGCAGTGAAAAACAGTTAAAGTAGCATGGAGATGATGGATTCACGTGAAAATTATGACTGAAGAAACTGGTAACTTGTAGTGTTTATAAAGGGAGTAAATGAATAGTCAAAGTAATAGAACACTAATAAAGAATATCCATAGTTCTAACTTTTAATTGACATGTAATCTTGGGATTATATTAAAATTGATCTATATTACAAGTTATCTGAGACCCAGATATTTGCTATAAACAATAATAGTAACTTAAAATAATATTTATATATTTGTATCATTATATGTGGAATATAGTAAATATTAAATGTATAGAATAAAAAGAACAATTTAATATATTAGAACACAAGGACAGTATCTCCTAGAATAAAGTATTTTCCATTTTTTCTTTAACTTACCAGTTCACTCTTTCTCCACCTGCTGTCCATAGAAGGTTAGGAAAGCTCCTCTGTATTTTGCAGAAGGGTCAGAGTCTTCTGCTGGAATCTGGGGTCAGAGAGGCATCAGTATCTCACAAGTCACATGTGATGGTGGGGCTAAGGTGCAGGCTTAGAGATATTTATCTGTGAACAAGATTATTAACACTAAAGTTCCACTTGTATGTAGCAGAGCCTTAGGTATTAATGTTGGAGGCCAGAAATGGAATTCAGGATGGGGCTCAGGGATAAGAACGTGACTAAGGCTGAACTATTTTTCCCATGTTGGGCCAGGCTCTTGGTTAGGCATAATTCATGAGCTACTAATAAATATTTCCAAATATGCTTGATTTTTACCATATCAATTTCTGTATTTTAATTACTCCTATCATGATCAATTTCAGACTACCAATGAGATGCTATTAAATGCAGAGCTGAAATGAGCATAATCGGCTTTCCTAAGCTGGTGCAAGCCAGCACATTATGCCATAAGGCATAACTATAGTTGGTTCTAGACCCCAGACACTTACCTAGGTGGAACTGAGAGCTACCACATCAATCAGCGCATACTGTTTGTTACTGTTTACTTTCAACTGGGCTATGGGCATAGTTGCTACTGCTCCATATATGTGCCTAGTTGACTGGAGGACACAGAAACAGAATGAGTCGGAATCCCTCAAGAAGCAATTAATAAAGAATAATTATTTCCAGAATCTTTGGGTTTATTAGAGAGAAAAGGAGGGAATAATTCCCACTGAGAGGCATGCCAGAGACTGTGCGTAAGAACATGCCAGTATCAATGCAAAACCCAAATAAATATAAAATAGTTATATAATATCATTAATTATAATTTAAATATGACATTGGTTTATATTTCTTATATATTTTCCCTGCATCTTTTAACTTTGTTAATTTTGTCATATACAATCATTTATAAAACTTTTCTGTAGTCGAGTTAACATAGTTTTTATTTATATTGTATACTTTTCATTTTTAAGAAGCTATTCCACACACAGAGTAAAAACTAGAGAGATTCAGAGTTGGATCTAGAGCTAGAGACAGAACTGCAGATAGGGATAGCAGTGTAGATAGAGATAAAGAGAGATAGAGACAGGTATCGTGCTAGACAGGCAATAATAATGTTAGAGAGAGAGGCTTGAGCCCATCTGAAATTTGTTTTGGGGACTTGAGTAATTAGGGGTTTTACTTAATTATTCTCAAATGTATAAACATTTTTTCTAATACCATGATCGATGTTTGGTCTCCAAGCATTTTGAGGGATTACATACATTTTATTTTAAATTTTCATATAAATATGGATCCATTTCTTGACTATTATCTGTTCTTTGACCTGTGCCTTTTTTGTTATTCTGTTTTTATATATGCGTTCATATTCAATTGGTCATGCTATGTTTTTAAGTTGTAATGCTGTTTTTTTGTATCTGTTATTTCAAATAAGAATTAAAAGCCAGCATGTATAAAAATAGAGCAATTACCAACATGCAGCTAAAGCCATAACTCTCTCAGAAGGAAACACGGGTAAATCTTCATGAACTTTGATTTTACAATAGATTCTTAGATATGACACTAAAAGGATGAGTAACAAAAACATACATAAATTGGATTTCATTAAAACAAAAAGTTTGTGCAACAAAGGAGTTTATTAAGAAAGTAAAAAGATAGCCTATAGGATGAGATAACATTTTTGCAAGTGATATATTTGATAAGTGTAATATCCAGAATGTATGAAGAAAGTCCTACTGAGAACTCAAAAGCAAAAAGACCAACAACTCAATTTAAAAACATGCAAATGACTTGAATGAGTAATTTCTCCAAAGAAGATATACAAATGACCACTGGCGCATAAAACACAAACCAAAACCACAGTAAGATGCCACTTCAAACTTATTAGAGTGTCTATAATTTAAGAGAAACAAAATGAAAAGTAACAAATGATATAAGAAAATTGGAATCCTCATATATAGCTGTTAAAAATGTGAAGTGGTGCAACTTCTGTAGAAAATATTTTGATGGTTCTTCAAAAATTTAGACATTGAATTATCATATAACCCTAAAATTCCTCTCCTGGGTATATATTAAAAACATACATAAAGATTTAAACAGGTGCTTATACTGAAATGTTCATTGTAGCATTATTCACAACAGGCAAAAGGTGGAAACAAAGAGAATGTACATAAACGGATGAATGAATAAACAAATGTGATATATACACCCAGTGGAATATTATGTAGCAATAAAAAAGAATGGAGTACAGATGCAGTAAGTCCTCATTTAATGTTATGAGTACGTTTTTGGAAACTACAACTTTAAGTGAAATGATGTACAACAGATCCTCAAATAGCACTGTTTTATCCAATGTTGTTTTGTTAAATGAGAAAAAAATTGATATCATTCTATGTCGTTTGGCTTAAAGTTTCAATTTCCAAGAACGTATGAAGGGACAACATTAAGCAAAGACTACTATGTAAGTTATAGCGTAGATGGACTTTGAAACATTATGTTGAGTAAAATAAGCCAGACACAAAACAACAAATATTGTAAGATATCTATTTATATGAATTATCTAAAATAGGCTGATTTATGGAAACATATAGTAGACAGAGGTTACTATCGGACTGTGGAGTTATTGCCTAACAAGTATAGCATTTCCGATTGGGTTATGAAAAAGCTTTGGAATGACATCATGGTGATGGTGGCACAATACTGTGATTATAATTAATGACACAGATTTATACTGAAAAATGGTTAATATGGTGAACTTTATTATATATGGTATATGGTATTACATATAGTATATTTATATACTTTATCACAATAAAAATTGAAAGAAATACAAAACACAATACAAATTATTACTTTGATTGAATTGAATTTATTATGCGTTGTTTTGGAGAAAATTGTTATTATAATAAACTATGTACAATAAACAATTCTTTCATTTATCTTAGGCATATGTACATTTCTATTATCATTTTTGGTGTTTTTTTTTTTTTTTTCTTTTTTGAGCTGAAGTCTCTCCCTGTTGCCCAGGCTGGAGGGCAGTGGCACGATCTAGGCTCACTGCAGCCTCCACCCATTCAAACCATTCTCCTGCTTCAGCCTCCCATGTATCTGGGATTAGAGGCGTGTGCCACCACTCCCAGCCTATCTATCATCATTTTGAATGTGACTTTGTTCATATTCTATTTTCCCATTGGTTCTTGCCATTGTATAAAACATTATTGATTTTTATGTTGTCCTTGTATAACTCTGTTTACTTTCCTGTAATTTATATTTAAGTGATAGTATCATATACAAAAGACATTTAAAAAAATGAATAAAAATATGTAAATAAATACACCACAGATTCCAAATTTGTCTTTTTTCTTCCCCCAATACCTGTACCTTTTTTATTTATAATAACTAAGACCTCAGTTATAACACAATAGTTTGTGGTAGTATTGGTCTTGGATCTCTTGCTCATATGAAATACAATTCTCACCTTATCAATCGCTTATCACTCTATAATTTTTTATTTTTTGATTTTGTTAATTCTGTCTAGAACAACATATCAGTTTTAGCTAAGTACTTCCAAAATTCCCTGCTTTAAATTTTGTGGTATTCTGTTTTAGTTCCTCTCCCCTCCCCTCCCCTCCCCTCTCCTCTCCTCTCCATCCCCTCCCCTGACCTCCCCTTCCCTTTCCTATTTTTACTAGCGGAAGGGTTAGTGGTTAAGGAGACAGTAGAACATGAAACGTTCTTCTCGTTTCCAGGGTAATGGCTCAGTAATGTTTCATTCAGCAGCTACACAGCAACAGCCATTTCCTAAATCCTTTCAGAATATGAGTGCCAAACTGAAAGTTTATTTAAAGATTGTAAATTCAATCAATTTTATCTCTACCATTTTAACTGTCAAAATGACATCTATATAACTGTGTAGCTATATACGTACATATGACTATATATATATTCATATACCTATTTAAGATAAGGTGTTTCATGCATTCTGTATGTGAAATTCGCATGTTCTTAGCTCCCCACTGCTAAAATCAATTATACAAAATCTTCATGCTTTTCATTCATTTCCTCTGTCTTCATACTGCAATCTATTCCCTCATTTTCCTTCATGTTATTACTTTAATGGAGAAATACAACACTGAGTGTATATTTCACATTAGAACGTTCAGAATATTCTGTAGAGTAGGGAAAAAAAAACTATGTGAAGTTTAACAGATGTGCTGTGAAATGCAAATATTTTGAAGATAATTCAAAACGGCACCTAAATATTTAGTGTAGTACTAGTAGGAACAAATTAATTGGATTTTTTAGAATGTCTTAAGTATTCTCCCTTCCTAATAATGGGAATTATATAGGAAGTTTATTTCTGACTTTCTTAATCTTTGGTGCACAAACTTCTGTGCATGTGTGCACACAAACTTGTGTGTGTGTATATACACATATATGAAGATATATATACATATAAAGGTAGATAAATTAGTGTGTGTATATGTAAATGTGTGTTAATACATGAATACATTTCTATAAAAATCAGAGAAAAAGCTAAGCATAAGCCAAGCATGAACAGGTTGTAAGTGTTTAAGACAGCACCTCAAATTTCTCAAGGTTTTTTTTTTTCTTTCTTTCTTTTAGGTGTAAATAAGATCATTTTTCTTTTTTTTACATTCTCATGGCATTGCTCTAGTCTTTTAAGAGGGAGAGATTGTGAAAATGTGTATTGATGTGAAGGAATTAACAGTCTGTAGGTAATATCATAGATAATTACGTTTGGTGTGATTACATTCTTTTTTAAACATGTTTCTTAGAAAATGTTCTCCTTAATCTTCTTTAGCTTTTAAAAAATTCTTATTTAAAAAATGTATCACCCAGGCATATAAACTTTCAGTCATTTTACATCTTCAGTGATGTCTCTGTTGATGCAATGATGCTCTATTGATGACTTGGGTCTAAAATCTCCACGATAGGAAGAAAATATGTATCATCTTTTAAATCATCCAGGTAATCTCATATGTGTTAATTTAGTATTGGTTATTATTTGCTTTAATTCACTATTATTCACTCATTAAATATATATGTATTATGTGTCTATTCCACACAATAGACTTTTTTGAGATGTCAGTGAGCTAGAAAATATTTTAGGGATAACATTTTAACTTAGAAAATAGGTGTTGATGGGGCCGGGCACGGTGGCTCACGCCTGTAATCCCAGCACTTTGGGAGGCTGAGGTGGGCAGATCAGGAGGTCAGGAGATCGAGAAAATAGATGTTGACAAAAATAACTATAATATTATGGTTTCATGTTATTGGTTCCAGTCTCTTCAGAGTACAATGGGAGTGCTGTTGTACATTTCAGCAGAATTTCAGACTGACTATAAAACGCCCAGTGACTGACTCAAAACCCCACTCTCTAGCGCTATGTAGGAAAAGTCAATCTGGATTAAACCTAAAATATATTTTTCTTTTCTCTATTATCTTTATGTATTTTTAAGTTAAAAGTCATGAAAATAGGATGTCCAAAAAAATGAAGAATTTCGTTATTTTAAAGTATTTTTTTCAAAATCTTTGAGTGCCTTAGTCAAATGCAGTGGAC